GTTAGCGGATGGATCGCGCACCTGCAGCTGGGTTGACTTCAGGTGCGGGTATTTTGGCACTAGGGTTGATTGAGAGGCTTCCAGGTGGAAACAGCTCATCGCCCGGAGCTGTAATTAATGACTTATTGTGAAATAAGGCAGTCTTAACCACATCGCAGTAAGGAGTTTAAAAAGTCAAAAGCGACATTGGTTGGCACCAAAAAATGTATATGTGTTATCAAAAGGCCTGTTAAGCAAAACTTGTCGCATTTCTTATTTTTCCTTTCTTTGTTTTGTGACTTTTCTGAGCAGAACCATGCTTTCAAAAGCTACCCTGTCTTCATCATTTATGATGAACTCAGTCAGGAGACTTAATGAATTTTAAGAAGTGAAACAAGATGGAGATGGCCAGCTCAGGAAGTGTGTTGTAATAACAAATCTTTCTTTCAAATTAAATATTTTTTTATGGACTTGGTAAAATGCAAAATGACATTCATCTAAATTATTCTTTCCCACAGAAAACCAAGGAGCAGCATAACTGTTTTAACAACTGTTTCAAAACAGGAAGCAATGCGGTTAAACATTTTAATAATTCAGCTCAGTAGAAGGTGCAGAGGTGCCAGAGCATACCTAGAAATGGAAAGCATGTTATGATTTTCTATATGTTACTGCACACAGGCCTTTGCAAACACTGAAATAAATATAACCCATTTTGTAAAACATGTTTTCCAGGCTTCTTGGAACACCAAACTAGAGCAAGTGTCTTCAGGACAGCTTCTTTGAAAATAGAGCTGGTGAAATCATGCAAAAAGTTGTTGGGGAAGAAAAGAGCTTGTTCATTTCCAGAATAGAAAACAGCTCATAAATAATAATGCTTAATATCTTTTATCTTATAAAAACATCAGAGTTATTTATCACCCAACTCTCAGCAAGAACAGCCAACCTCTTCTAGTTTCAAGCACTGGAAGTAGGTCTGCTGAAGCCAGTGGAGCAGTAAAAGTGGAAGCACTGCAGTCTACAGTGCGTGTTATAAAATCCCTGACATCTAATTAAGATCTTTTTATCTTTTTTTTTTTAAAGGAATTATTCTGGAATATGTACAAGGTGGTGAGCCAAAGACCAGATCTATAGATTTACTTGACCTTAGACCTGAGTAAGTATATTGTAATTTCAGATAACAGTACTCTCTGCTGTTTTATAGCATGCTCATATACAAATCTCTTTGATTGTTTTAAACATAATTGAGGTCAGCTATATCCTTGTTCACTAAAACACATGCACAGAAAAGAAAATAACACAGTCAAATCATTCTCCAACTATTTTAAATACAGAATCTTGCATTCCAGCTGATTATTACCATCATGCTTTTCTGTTCAGAGGTAAAGCTTCTTTTTGCTTATAGAGTTATGATTATCAAGATGCCTGTACAAAGCCAGCAGAAATATGCAGTGCTTAGTGTTGTAATGTTGTGATGACAATTAGTTCTTAGGTCCTGTAATAGTATTTCTGGTTTTCAGAATGTTTTAAAAAAGTGGCTCTAACTCAGCCCCCAGTTACATTGGTTTAAATGACATCTGTTGAAACCACTGAAAATCACAAACAGGCATCAGTTCAGATCTCTCCTCATAATTAATATTCATAACAACCAGAGGTAAGATGGCATAAGATAGGCAAGTTAGTTATTTCCTCCTATATGTTTGTGTGGAGAAACTAAGCATCTGCTGCTGTTGCAAGTAATGGAAATTTTCTGGATTCTTTTATTGTGAACCTAGTTGCAGTTGGGTTCTTTGAAAGAACAAGATTGCATAATGTGATTTTTCTAGTCTCCTACAGATGAAAGAAATTGCAGGATCTTCATGTATCTAAAAATCAGGGATTGGCCTAATTGAAGAATAAAAATACAGTGTATTTCAAAGTCAAGTTTATATTTAAGTTTGACAGGATATCTTTAGATAAGACAGAAGGCAGAGGTGACTTCATGAGGAAAAAAGTGATACTTGCTATGTGGAGGACAATCCTCAATCACATCTGGGTCTGGTTTTCAGACAGTTGGAAGGCACCAATCCGAAACTCTCATGTCTTCCTTGTGAGGAATAGGATGAATTTGTTGTAATGACAATGTTGACTTAGCAAGTTACTATGCTGAATTAGCTTTAATACTGCTATGTGTAATTTATGCACCAGTGCTTGCAAGGTTATTTGACTGGCTATTTTCTGCCTTTGGTGACAGAATATAATGGTGTGTAACAGAATCAGAGAATCGTTTAGGTTGGAAGGGACTTCTTGAGACCATCTAGAGCAGGGTCAGGTAGAGCAGGTTGACCAGGACCATGTGTAGTTGGGTTCTGAGTATATCCTGGATGGAGACTCCACAACCTCTCTGTGAAACCTCTTCCAGTGTTTGACCACCCTCACAGCAAAAAAAGTATATTTTTGTGTTCAGATTTAATTTCTTGGTTTTTTGTTTTGGGTTTTTTGTTTTTGTTTTTCATTTGTGGTCATTGGCTCTTGTCCTCTCAGTGGGCAATACTGAGAAAAGTCTGGCTCCCTCTACTTCATTCCCTCCCATCAGCTCTTTGTATGGAACACTTCACGAATTTGCCATATCTAGCAGAACTTTTTGGCTGACGTCCACACCATGGAAAAATTATCAAGTTTCATACAGCTTTCAAACTATTTTTTCTGCTTTCCTCCAGCTAGCGTCTTCCTTTAGACACTCAAAAGAAAAAATGGAAAGAAATCTGAGCACCTTAATGTGGCTTTGGTCATAGCAGTCAGCCTACGTGCTCTACTCCGCCAGGTCTGATAGGAAGAGCTTCAGTAAGAGGAAAAAATTGCCAGCATTAAATAAAGTTGCTGAAGTCCATGGAGTTTATCAAGTAATATGATTGTCTTAATACCAACATTGATACAGAAAAGTCCTTGCACGTGGGCCAAAGTTAGTAGATAATGTAGGCTGCACATGCAAGATGAAAAATCCAAATTTCAAAATTATTAATTTTTGTCTACCCGGAACTGTCCAACTTAGTACTCTGGATAAAACCTAATGAGTCACTTTGTGAAAGTAATAAGTTGTCTGGTGTTACTTCACAGGAGTATAAAAACTGAGAAGATATTAATTTATGCGGATGTTTGTTAGTGGCTCCCATTTAGAGGGCTGATACAGAAAATCCCCTGTAGACTGCAATAATTTACATACTAACAGAAATGCTAGGTTCTCTTGCTAGGACTGGTTTTATGTGTATGTTGGTGCTTTGACTGTTTGGTATTGTCAACCCTCAGTTTCCCATGGATGGCCAGGAATCAGCAGTTTATCTGATCATACAAAAAGATGATCCAATTCCACATACTAGCTGTGAATCACTTCCTGTGGGGGCAGTATGGACACCAATAGACTGTGGACCACATTTTGGAAGTTATTATCGTAACCAAGATTCATAGGAACAGGCATAGATTTGTGAAGCCACAGACAGAGATAATTTTAACACTTTCCCATATATAATTTATCTTGTTGCTACTTCATGAGTAATTTTAATTTAGATATTTATTCCAAAACTGAGAGTTTTGGAATAAAACTGATTTTTATTCCATGTCTGGCCCTCTGTGGAAGCCCTTTGAAAAGGTAAATTTCTTGCCAAGCTAAAATTTTTAAAAGTTAAATCTTACTGAACTACTTTAGTAAGAGAGGGAAGGAAGTATAGAAACCAAGAAAGATTTATCCGTATTTCTTTAAGCCATTACAGAATGCGAAAGACACATACAATTTCATCACATCAATTTCTCTGAAAGTAGAAAATATTCTTGCTTTTATAATCATAATTATTGCCACAGGATGAAATCTGGTGTGGTTTTTTCTTTTTTTTTTTCTCTCATAATTAGCACAGACGCAGTAGCCTTAGTAGAAGAAATTCGAAAAGCAGAACCTCTCATCACAGCTTCATGCAAAGAACATGTCATACATTTAGTACGAAGATTGCAAGAGAAGCTAGGGGAAAAAGAGGATCACAAGTTCTATCTTTTTAAGGTCAGAGACATCTTTAAAATAATTTTGGGAGATTTCAGCTGTGATGATGTGAGTATGTTTTTACTGCTGCATATTGTGCCTTGAGAGCAAAATTTGGACTTTATGAACCAATTTCTTATCTCTTTTCAATCACCTCTGCACTGTTTAGAGTGACTGAGTCTGGCAGGGTATGTCTGCCAGGAATTCCCTGAAAAGGCTGGGAAGTATAACTGTTCCAAGACGCTGTTTACACAGGCTTATGTACAAGGGTGTGTTTTGGATGTAGAGAAACAATTGTCTTATTTGTCAAATAAGACTCTGTGGGCCAGCAACACCCCTAGGTATGTTTAAACAAAACCTGTAAATAGACCCCAAGTAAATTAGCTGCTGGGAAAGGCACAAAGGTTTTTCATACCAGTGTCTACTTGTTCTTCATTTTGTGAAAATTATGTTTTTTTAATGTATTCTGCTACACACAGTAATACAGGTTGTCATTACTTTCTGCCACTACTATTATGTTTGAATATTGGTAGTTTGATCTTCTGCTTACGGACAGCACTTAAAAAATTATTTTAAATGGGTAAGCTTTTTAAGAACAATGATTAGAGAGATGTTTCAGGGCTTCAAATTCAAGATTCAGTCTGTCAGAAGAAAATAGGTTTAATTGTATTTAATTGTGGAAATAAAAATAAAATTACTTCCAGGGATTGCATGTTGCAATCTGAAATAATTGTTGTATCTTCATTGTGGCAGCAGATGGCAATGTGTAGCTGTTAAAAACTGCTGGTCAGTGTTACATTATTGATTGTTGCCGTATGTTTAGAGGGAAAAGGGAGAAGTTTTGTGTTGGCTTGTTTGGCTAAATAAGTCCTTTACATGTTACTAGATATCACGGGTTCTTTTGAGCAACAGTACACATCTGGGTGAATTCTGCGAAGATCTGTGTATTTAACTTTGAAAACAGAGCTATGTAATAAGGCATCTTAAATTTAAACAGTTTCTGTTCTGTTTTAAGGGATGCTCTCAACTGAGATAATGCCTTGCTTTTCACAAGCTTTTAAAATTGTTTGTTCATCACAGAGACTGACAAATCATCAAATCCTTGTCCAGGTTTCAGTGTAAATAATGTGTTTGTTCTTTGTTGGTACAGTGCCACATTTGAGCTTCTGTATTTGGAAATAGTAGAGGCAGGCAAATCCGATCAGTGCTGGCTTATTTCCTTCACTCAAGAGTAGTCAAAAGTGTGCGAAAAGAACTTGTTTTATGTTTCAGTTCAATGTAATGCTTGTAAACAAAACAGGAGTATCAGGTGCTTCTGAGATACTAATAAAATACAAGAGGTGTGTGGGAGTGAGAATTTTTTTTTTCCCAAACAATGTTCCCTGTCTTTGCATTGTTTGGAAATGAGTATTTTTTCCTGTTGCACTGGAGCATAATCTTAAATGAGTGTATAAACCCATATTTTTGTTGTTTCCAGTAATTGTGGTGACAGTAGTGTGTTAGGCACCCTGCAGAGGAACAAGCTTTTGTAACAATTTCTCAGGTTTTAAATTATTACATAGAAATGGTATGCCCTAGTGCTTTGCAGATTTTTATCTTAGGGACTGCTGTAGAAGATTTTGCAGAACTGAGGTACATTTTGTCTTAGTATTGCCTTAGGGTTTGATTATTTTACCATTTGCACAAACAATTCTCGCTGGCTTAGAGTTCTGTTGATGAAGCAACTGCAGCACTGGGCATTGGAAGAACAGAATTAGTCCCGTGATCTGAAATTGAACATAAACCCTTCTCATTTTCCTCCCCTTTTTTTGTAATTGTTAAATATGTTTGCTGTTCAGAGCTGCCTGCACGGAGCCCTAAAAATGTCATGGATCCAATTTCCATAAACTTCCGTAATTATCTATTCTCATATGCAGATATTTGTATACTGTGTCTGTTTTTAATTAAAAAAAGCAAAGTATTTTTGTCATTTCCACATCTTGATTGCTCATACCCACCGCTGTAGCTGAAAGTGCAACTTGTCTTACTTTCTCTAGAGAAAAGAAATTGCTGTTTCTCTAACATAAAATACCTGTTCTCTTTCTCTCTCGCTCAGTCCTTCACTTGACCATGTTATTTCTTTTATATTTTGATCAGTCCCTACTCTTCTGAGTAGAAGATCTCTGACCTTCTTTCATTTTGCTTTTGGAGACAGGTAACTGAGAAAACTAGAGATAAGAACAAAAAGTTGAAGCTCTGGTAATATATCAGTGATTAAATGGCGTTGCTCATAAATAATTTCTTCTTAATTCTTATATTACAGAGAAGAACCTAGTGGACCACTGCTGTATTTTTAATATCCCTTTACTTCACTGTCAGGAATTGCTGTGATTTCTTAGGTTATGCTTTTATTATGCTTTAGATTTGAGCAGAAGCCAGCTTGTAATAGATGAAAGTTGTTCAAATGCAAACCCTGCTATAGAGTAGCCAGCTTATTTGAACGCAAACCAGATTATATTTTTTGGCCAGTTCCAAAGTGTCATGGCATGCTGACTTTCATTGGCAGTATCTGAAACCGTTTTCACCTCTGTTTAATAAACCTTATTATGGGTATGAGATAATTTACATGAAGCATATATACTGTCTGATTAAAGGACCTTAGAAGCATTGTTAGAAAAACAGTGACCTCCATAGCCTAGAAAACACAGGCAGACATCAAATTTGAGATTCCCTCTTTGAATTTTGTCTTGATAAGTATCTTTGCTATGGTTCTTGCATGCCTTTTTTGTCATGACTGCATAGGATGTAGATGTAGCTTACTTCTGTTCTTCCTGTTTTTTAAAACAAAATCATATACTAGCTGAAAGTATCCCATAACCTAAAACACTCAAAATAATACTTAATTCAGCTGGATCTCTTGATTCACTATATAGGGCTTAATATTAGTTGGGATTTCTTTCATCATTGATCTCACCAGGCATGATCTCCTCACTCATTTGTTTTTGCCCTTTCAGCTCTGGTCTAGGATTACTTTGCTCGTCTCAGGGAAGGTGGAGAAAAAGCAAACATAGGGGAAAAGACAGTTCAGTCAAGTAAAATACAAGTATGAAACCAATATTATATAATATTTGCAGTGCTAACTTGATGATGCATGGGTGATTTTTTAGTTAGGGATGAATGTATGACAGCTGTAACTGCTAATCTGACATGAGAAGGGGAAAATATTAACTTATTGAATATTTCGAGCAAATGTGGTTTGTTTGGTGTGTTGTTTTTTTTTCTTTGCATTGAATGTTTTCTTCTCCCTCCCTTCTATTTCAGGTACTTAGAGCACACGTATTGCCACTGACTAATGTAGCATTTAACAAATCTGGTTCCCGGTAAGTTGTTTTCAAAGTCAAAATACATAATCACTAATCAAAGTTTTGTATTTGTAAATTAAATTGTAAGGGGATTTCAGTGCTCTTGCTGCAAAAAGAATTCAGCTGTGCTGCTTATAAGCAGCATGATTGGGGATTAGATTTCAGGTGTCTGTGCGAGAAACAATAGGAGATGGAAAAAAGTAGCTGGTGAGATTCAATTTATGTAATTTTTTTCTTCCAAGGTGATAGTTTGTTGACAATTACCATATTTCAGTAGAAGCACCTCTATGGCAATAAAGTGAACGTTACTAAAAGTTAAATTAAGTCTTGACATAAATGCATTTGGGACTTTCACTGTAGTAGAATTTCATGTTAATTGATTTCACCGTGGGCACATACCTAATCATTTTTTCCTTCATGTTTTGAAAGCAGTAGCTTGCTTTTTAGTTGAAATACATTAAAGATTAGAAACCATTTTTTTTTAAATGAGGAATATTTAAAAAAAAAGGAAAAAGAACCTCTATGGTCATCAATCTACATTTTTGAAAGGAAGAAGAGATTTAGGGTCTAAGACAGTGCTTACTGAAATCTGAGCAAATAACTCATTTGACTATGCACCAGTACCAGTAAGATACTTACTGTATTCAGAAGTTAATTTCTCTTTGCTTTAGCTTTATCACTGGAAGCTATGACAGAACCTGCAAAGTATGGGATACTGCATCAGGAGAAGAGCTACGTACACTGGAGGGACATGGAAATGTTGTCTACGCAATAGCTTTCAATAATCCCTATGGGTAAATATATTTTCTCTGAGATACATCATAATTGCTTACCATGTTATTTTGCAAACACGGAACTGTTACTCAAATTTTAACATAAAATAGACTATGTAAAATTGAAAGAGTTGAAATTCTGAATTTGTAAAGTTCAACTATAGCTAATCACCATGGGATGACACCGTATATTAGCTATATGAGATACATTCATGCATGTTTTCTGCTATAATTTTTTAAAATGAAATTTAGAATTTAAAGCATAAATTCCATTAAGTATTCAGTGTCTTGAAAAATATATGCATGAGTCATTTTAATATACTGAAACACAGATTTATTTAAATAATATCTACACAATCAGATTGTGTTCTGAATGTTACTCATTCTTTACTATCTAATTGTATATGATGTGAGATATTAGTACTTAAAACAGCTTGTGTTGCTTCAGTTAGGGAGAAAGAACATTTCTGTCATAACAGAAATGGGTTTCTCCATTTAGTGTTACACATTCGTTATTATTTAGGACATGCTTTAGAAGTGTCAGAGCTGTTGAACAAACCACAGGGTGCCGCTGTATGAATGTCAGATATGAATCTGTGCTGGCTTTGTTTTCTGCAATAACTGTTTGCCCTCGGTTAGAGTTGCCACTTGTTAGGTGAAGGGAATTACACGTTAGCTAGTGAAGCTTCACTGTCATTTGCTTCCTGAGGAAGCTGTCATGTGTAAATAAACCATTTTGGTCCTCTGCAAAATACAAGAAGTTAATTCTTATTTTTATATTGAATCACATTGCTTCTTTCGCTATCAGATGTCCTATTTATCAGTTAAGCAATACACAGTTAATGTCAGGAAATAAATGTTAAAGACTCGTTCTTCCGCTATTTGGAGCATCATCATTTCCTTCTAATTGAGAAGACTTTACCCAACCTAGAACCTGCTTTGAAGAAACCAATGTATGACAAAAATCCGTGCAAAGACCAATAACTACACTGTAACATAAAAGTGGCAAAGCAATATATAGTGAGCAAAAATCTGATGAGAAACTTGAGCTACTTTTAAATTAAAAGTTCAGTAAAAAAAGAACTTTTTTTTTTCCCCTGCTTATCTTTAGGTTTTGATACAGTGTCCCTTGCTACATTTTCTGGGTATGTCACTTCAGTCTTGTTCTAACTGCAGTTGGTCACAATGCTTCCACTGACTTCAGTGGGAGTGAAGTTTGACCTCTGAAATTTGGGTAAACTGCTTATAAAAAGAGTTTATAACTGCTGATAAACAAAGAGATGCTATTTGATGAAATGACATAACTTTTAAATACATCTGGAAGAACAGCAGATAACATCGTTCCTAATGTAGGTTAGTCATCAGTTATGAACACTTCTGTGCTGTTAGACAGGCACAGTGGCTGTTTTAGAAACTAATTATGTCTGCTAATTTTTTCCCTTAACGTAAGTTTTGTTTGTGAAATCCTGCTCCAGGATCTTGTAGTGTGGCAGAATGCACCACAATGCACACAAGCTTCGATGCCTGGGTATTGTTTCTGTGAGTTCTACTGTCTTTGAAGTCAGAAATTTCTTTCTAAATAAACATGACAGGATTTTTTTCCATTTAGTGACAAGATTGCCACTGGATCTTTTGATAAAACCTGCAAATTGTGGAGTACGGAAACAGGAAAATGTTATTATACTTTCAGAGGACATAGTGCAGAAATAGTGAGTACTGATGGATGTTTCTTATTCCTTTATGCTTCCACATGCCATCATTGATGGCTGTGGCTTCCAAGTCCCTGTGAGCTTACATTGGAAGGGGCAGCTATTCTGCTGCATCTATTCACACATTCAGACATTATGAAGATTTCTGCACTGCAAGAAAAGATAGTCTGACAGTTCTGAATAAATACAATAAAACATAGAGTTTAAAAAGATATTTTATTTTTAGTTTGTTACAATTTCCTTTGCTTACTAAATGTTAAAACATTTTTGAAATATACCATAAGAATCAGAATTCCCAATTTATTGCACATATTTATTCCTTGATTTGTTTACGTATCCCATTTTTTTCTAGATGTCTTGCATTGCCTTTTGTATTTGCAGAATTAAATACACAAGAACATCATTGCTTGTGTTGCTGTGTTTCACACTAAGATCTGTACTTCATGCACAGGACCGATTTGAACCATAGAAGAATGAATTTCTAAGTGTGTTAACTGAGAGTATGTGGGATGCTGAAATGTCAAAGATATATGAAAACAGTTGAAAAGCTTAAAAATGGTTGGTTTCCTTTCCACTGCACTAGGAGTCCTATTAGCAACAATAGCAAATATCTTGATGCACAGCATTCCAATTTAAAAGATCAGGCAAATCCACTGAAACTGCAGTGAATTTCAATGCAGAATGTATTTTTTAACAAAAATAGCTATGCAATCATTATTCAATGAAGCATTTCTGAAATTGTTTCTGGAATAAATTGGAATTTAATCTGTAAATTGCAAGGCTTATAACTAGTGTGAGAAAATGGTGTTTACCTTGGTGGAAGTTGAGGTTGGTTTCAGTGGGTTTTTGATTCTCTGGATACTTTGAAACAGTTACCCCTTACCATGGAGAACATGTTTGCTTATTGAGATAGTGTCTAGTGATTTTGCTTCCACAAATCAGTTAGCTAAGGCACCTCAATTTCTTCTGTAGGGGTTAGATTAGACCTAAAGTGTTCTAAGCTGTTCTAGCAAGGCATTAGTAGAAGGTAATAGCCAGCAGAAAATGATGAGTTTCTCTGAATGAGGCCTGTTTCTAAAAGGCAACCATTATTGCATATGATACATTGGTGGCAAGGGTGTGTCCATAGTTATTCAGTATAAAAGAAAAAAAGGAAAAAAAAAAGAAATGGACATAGTGAAAATGCACCAGTGACATGAGCTACTGTTTTCCTTCTCACATGGCACCTCCTATTCTTTATTCACAGAACAATCATATTGAATAATTACAGAGAATGGGAAGATGACTACATGATTTTTTTAATGTGAAAAATGAATTAAGGAAGTTGTTGAGCTTTTGTTCTTGCTTTTTCATACATATGATGTTTTGAGGACACCCTTGGCAAATGGCCTAGATAATGACACTTGTTAAAAGAATCATGTGAGTGTGCAAAGTGTGTTTGTGGGTACACAAAACTGACTGGAGGGTCTTTGTCCCAAACTGATAGAGTTAGAGAGGAAGCCTACCAAATGATAGTTATGGAGGACTATCAGTCAGACTGAACAGGAACTGGCAAATCTCAAAGAGATTTTTGAAATAAAGAAGTAGAAAAGCCTGAAAATAAGTATAAAAGAATCAAGACAATTTATAACAGGGTAGGGGACACTGTAGTCTGGAAGTAGCAGTTGTCAAAACCTGCTCTGGTACTTCCAGAAGTCACCCTGGGCATCACAGTCTGTGCCTAGACCACAGTGTGTAGCCTTCCTTTTGAAGACACCATGAGGAGTCTGCATCTGGCTAGTGGATTGTTGGCACAGGATTCAAAAAAAGGCCCCCTTATACCCCTGCTAAGATGTGCACAGGTGAATTTGGATGCCTTGTCTCTGGCATGTGGATGAGCAGATTGTAGGAAGTGGCATGGGTTCAACTAAAGCTGGAGCACTCATGTCTCCTAGGGGAGGTGTGTGCAAGTAAGGGGACACATACTCCTAGGAAGGAGGGGTGCGCTTGTAACCCACTCATCCTGTGAGAGGGGATGAGTATGCATGCCAGAGTGTGAAAGTGTGTGTGTGATTAAAACTTCCTGGAGTTACAGGAGGAGGTTTTGAAGTTTGTAGCTGTCTATTAAGATTACATAAGTTTATCTACTGTATTACAGATACTGATACTTGAATATATAGTTCTCTGACAGTTAACTGTGCTGTTAATAAATTAACAAACTGCTTCAGTCTTGATTCTGATTAAAACTTTGTGAACTAAATAATTTCTCCCTGTGACACAAAATGAAGCACCTAAATAGTGATTTTTAATCCAGGCTCAGAAAACAATACAGGAAATCTTTCAGTAAGTATTTTTAATGCATTGCCATTACAAAGCACCCATTTGATCTGAGTAGTCATCCAGAGCTGTGTGATAAGGATTTGCTGCTCTTCTAGTGAACTGTTGGATGAACTCTGCATTTTTTTGTGTATGCCATAAAATACTAAGCCAGACTTTTGTTTAAAAATATTAATCCTGACCGATTGTTTTGAGAAAATGTATATAAATACTCTTCTTTTCTTCTTTTTCCATCCAATGTTTCTTGCTACAGGTGTGTTTATCATTTAATCTTCAGAGCACATTGGTGGCAACGGGAAGCATGGATACCACTGCCAAATTATGGGATATAGAGAAAGGAGAAGAAATAGTCACTTTAAGTGTATGTTTGTCTGCCTTGTATTTTTAAAGGTGTTCCTTGCTTTCTTAGTTTTCTGAGATAAATAACAGTATCACTGTTACAACAGTTCATAACTTGCAGAGTTTCTGTTACCAGGTAGTCCCACAATGACTGCAGTTACAAGGCAGGTTAAAAAAACTGGAAGGGAATGATAAAGATGTAAGAAAGTATTTTTACAAATAGGACTTCTTATAAAATACAATTTCAGTGACATTCCTGCTATAGATCAGAATGCCTTCCATTGCTCATTAAGACATACAGCTATATCGTAATTTATGACCTACTCTGCATTAACATAAAGTAACTCTGAGAACATTAATGTCAGACCGTACATCTGTATGGATCTTCTTCCTGTAAACATCATCAGAGGACAGCCATCCAACTACCTCTAGATTGTGATGTCTCTTTGCTCCATGTGACTTGCTGGGATTCCACAGGTTGAGATTGGCCTGTGCTGTTTCAATGCATTTCTTGCATAAATCCTAAATAACAGGTAGTACATAAGCTTCCTTTGGTATATGTTGCCTGTAGAGTGGGGAAGGCATTTTCTCCTCCTTGACTTTCTCTTCCTCAGAGCCCTGAGCAAAGCAAAAAGCAGTGGAACGTGTGAACCTTTTGCTTATACGCATGCTTATATTAATTTTTCCAAGCCTCTCTACCAACACCAACAACAAGCTGTACTGTAGTTTACTGTAAATGAATCATCTGATTTCAGTATGTATTGGTCAACAAATGTGATTCTGTTAAATCAAATACAGAAAAATATGCTCTGATGACATCACTGGACAGTTGCTCACGGCTTAAATGATGTGCCTGATTTTTTGCAGTTTTTGGGATATTGACTATTCCACAGTCCAGTAGATCTGTCAAAATTGTGATATACTGGACAAAACAGTAAATAATATATTGAAGGGTTATAGAGGGATTATGCTGCTGAAAAAAATCTACATATTAAACTACATTAATGGAAAATTCATAATTTGCATTCTCTTACTCTTTTTTTAAAATTCTCTCAGGGGCACTCAGCAGAAATTATTGCGTTGTCTTTCAACACCACTGGAGACAGGATTATCACTGGCTCCTTTGACCATACAGTAGCAGTGTGGGATGTTGGCACTGGCAGGTACTAAAGTACTAATAAATACCATTTTACATTGCATGTTTTAATGACAAGTGAAAGAGAAAATGTTGAGCTACAAATTACAGACCTTGTATTTTTACTGCATTTAGAGTATGCCTTCCTTCATCCTATGATTTATTACTCCTGTTCCGTTTGTTTTTCTGAAAAGGAATGCTCCTCACAAAATGCTTTCGTGTATGTTTTTTGTTCTAAATTTCCATCTTATTTGCACTGAGGAGGCAGACAGAATGGACAGATCCTGTGTTTGTTGCTGATGAATTCTCCAAACAGGAAAATATTTTATCAGCATGGAGACTCATAGTTGGAAAGGTGTCTAGAATTTCTAGACGGAACAGACTATTTAAGTAGAAAGAATACTATGTCATAGAAAATTAGTCTGATCACATTGTCTTTATAAACCATAGAGGGCCTGTTTCCCTTCTCACAGTCCTTTACGTCAGTATAAATTTATAAGGAGGAGAAAAATTGGCCCCTCTGACTGCAGAGAACAAAATGTCTTGATTAAGATGCCAACAAATAATAATGTAGTAGCTAAACATGAACTTGTTGTATTATCCTGACAAATCCACTTGTTTCTTCAACTGGAAACTCAGTATAAGTAGAAAAATAAAATGCTTGCCCTGATTACTGAAAAAGCGATTTATGAAGATAACAATTCTATTATGTTTTCAGAGGTCATGTCTGTCATCTTTTTGTGAGAGCAAGGGCAATATCTCTGAAATTTATATATAAAAGGAAAATGTATAGCTTCAAAATTAGGATAATCATGTGATTTAAGAAATAACATACACATAGTACATCATTTAAGGCTTGATCCTGTAAGCTTTGAGATTAAACTGCTGGTGTTGAATAATGCTTGGCATCTAAATACTTAGGAGGCACCCATTCAGCAAATCGGACCTTTGGATTCAACTTCATTCAGCCTGCAAATATTTTTGTTTGAAAACAGCTTCTTCTTCCAGCTTCTTGTCTGAGCCTGCAGTGAAGTCAAAGTCTTGGGATTTTCATGTTCCGTTCTTTTTTTTCTAAGAAATGAATGTGGATTTCCCATCAAGGTCAATACCGGGAAGTGGAATACGAAGGAGAAAATTCTCATTTAAACATTGACAGCTCTGGTAATCTGCTAGTGGGCAATATAATTGTGCCAGGGCCAGCATTCAGCCTTTTAGATGGCAGTTGGGCATGTATACATTTAGTAATAATGAAAAGTTGCAGTCAGAAAGACTGTGAGCAAGTCATACTCTTCTGTATGCAGGTTCAGGAAGATTTGCAAAAATCCTGTAGGTGAGGTTGTGTGTGCCTGTCTTTCACCATATGAAATACACGAGAAACACTGCTTTCCAAATTTGAGTTTGAACTTGAAGTTTCTTTTAATCTTGCTGGCTGACTCTGATGAGTGCCTGTGTTCCTCAGTTTTATTCTGGGTAGGTATCCAGAGGGGTAAGTATCCCTACCCCTGAGGGGAGCTGATGCAGGGACAAGAAATATGGAGAAGGTTCAAGATTTTCTTTATAATATGTTAAAATAAAAAAAAAAAAAGGGGTGAGGGGAACATGCTTTTGTAAAACAGGTCTGTATTCCATCACTAATTTCTCCATGGCAGATACAGTCAGCTATAATTTGGTTGAAGGCTTCTTCAGAACTTCATTTGACAAATCAACAGCCTATAACTGGGGTCAGGAGTGTTGGACACCAGGATGCTGAGAGACAGTTTCTTCTTATTTGCAATTATAGTGCAAATATTAGAGCATCCATATATTAAATTTCACTGGAAACTGAAGGCAAAAGAAGTATTATCATGACTGAAGCAGATTTATTTTTTTAATTTTTCTTTTTAAAATAATTTAAATGAAAAGTTTTTATAGCATTTCACAAGCCTGTTTTCTGGGTTCTTTCTAATAGTGTATCTGATTGATAGTGGTTTCTGTGAGATATGCCACATGTTGCTATTTATTCTATTTATTGATCAAATACTTATGTTGAAGCTTGAAACCTGGATTGCCTTTATAAAACTTGGAAATTAAAACTTTTAAATTTTTGATGGAAACTTTTTCATTATTAGGTATTTTGGGTATTAGGTATTACAATAACAGTAGTCTTGACGGCCAAATAATATGTTCACAAAATTGAGAAGTTTTCCACTGTTGTTTTCTGCTTGTTGATTTTTGTTTTGCTGTAAAAACATCTACACAATTACAATAGTGCAGGCCTCACATTGTTAGAAAGTAAAAGTAGTTATTTGATAAAATTACATGAGTATAATCATTAGTTTTTGTTATCATAAACAGAAAATTCAGTTGCTCAAGAGATTTGCTTTGCTGTTCATTTAACACATACATTAATTTAGCTACCCTTATGTAGCTTGTGAATAAAAATATTTCAGTCACTCAAACTCATTTAGTTGTTTTTCTAGTCTTTTGTTTATTCATTAGTTAAAGCAGTTTTCTATGAATGATACAATGATATTAGCATTGTGATAATAATCTAGTTTACTAATCTTTTAATATATATATCTCAATTAATCTTTTTTAGGATTTGTTGCCTTATAGGCCATTAATTCATGGGAAGCAATAATGGCTAATTGTACCCTCTCTACTGAGCTAAAGCTGAAGAATTTAATGGAACTAGTATTGCCCGTCTTGTGCAGCAAGAAGTTTAGGATTAATGAGGATTAGAAATCATATTTCAGTGTGGCCATCATTTGCCTGTTACTTGGAAACATGCTCACATTAAATACCTGATTAAGTTTCCTCTGATCTTCAGTGGATTTTATGAAAGTTTTAGAGTATATGGAGTTTTAAAGGTGTACTGTTTACAGTTGGTTGAAGTAGGATAATGGGAGAGTAATGTGGAAAAACTTTGGCGCTGGAAAGTCATCACATTTCAGTGGAAATACATTCATTACAATATTTTTGAAAAAGAAGGGACGACTTTACCATTTTATTCTTTACTGCCCCTCTGTCTCAAAGGAAAAAATGGAATTGATGTAGTACTAGAATGCTAAATGAGCTGTACCACTCAATTGCTTTAATGGTGAAGACTTGACAACTTTAGCTATAACATTTTATAAACTTACTTATTATTTATATGTGTATATCGAAATATACACTAAAGATACAAATTCTCTTTTTTGTAGGATGCTACACGCTTTAATAGGTCACAGAGGAGAGATTAGCAGTGCACAGTTCAACTGGGACTGTTCTCTCATTGTCACTGGATCAATGGACAAAACATGCATGGTAAGAAAGTTGAGTATGTACTGAATACAGCTACTTGATGTATAAAAATGTATCTTTTGTAAATGGAAGAGCATTTTTTTAAACTAGTACATGTAATTCATTAAAGAATTTACAACTAAATGCAATACCTATAAGCTTATTCATTTCGGTGAAGACCAGTTAAATAATAATATATATTTTAAGGCTCGTTTAATCAATACACTGAAATAAAAAAATATACAGGACTTCACTAAACTCACTAAACAGTGGCTCTTTATTGATATATATCCAAGTTTCATGTTAATATATTGTCAAATGTCAGAAAGGGCCTATACATGTTGCTTTATGGATCAACTACATATCTATCCAGTAAATTAGTCAAAATAAGCAAAAAAGTTACCCTCATTTATCTGTGCAGCTGTGGAATGCTATGACTGGGACACATATAGCAACTTTAACAGGTCACAGTGATGAAATATTGGATGTATGCTTTGATTATGCTGGCCAGCGTATTGCAACTGCCTCTGCTGATGGTAAGTGAAGTGACTGGAACTGCTATAAGAATTGCAATAGTAGCATACAAACACTTTGTCCTTTTCCTTTGGTTTTGCTTTGAATGAAAGAGGAGTATCATGATTCAAAACTATAGATCAAGCAGTGTTTGCTGCATTGCAGAAAGTTTGGCATTAAATTTAAGAAGTTTTCCCTAGTGAAAATTTTCTTAGTTTTCACATTTTAATCAACTCAACATGCCTTTCTCCTTTAACTTCAGACTTGCAGAGAAACATTTCACTTGTGGCTGGAAATGTATTTTAAATGTATATGTAAGTAGCTTTTGAGTGAAGTTTGATTTGGGTGGCTCAAATTTAGGATTAAATGAAAAAGGTAGTTGGAATTTTAATGGTAGATTTGCTACTAGGCTTTCCAAATGCACAGCAAGAGAATACACAATAAAGAGATAGTGAAAGAAGCAATTTTGTTTTGTTATTGGTATACAGAAGGTTTGCATGCTTATTATTTTTTTAGGAATCATAATAAACCTTCACAGTGTTATATTATAGCGCATAATGACAATACCATATTCTTTTTACATACTTAAGTGTTTTGCATTGCATTGCACTTTCAGAAACAGGGTACCAGACTGGGGGGCACTATTTGGATCTGATCTGCTGTAGTTGCTAAATTAAGATATAAGACAATGCAAACATTTTCCTGAAATGTAATCAATAGCTTATAAAATAAAATAAATATCTGAAATATAACAAAAGCCTTCTAAATATATTGTACATGTATTCTGAAAATATTGTACATGCATTCTGAAATTAGAGACTTCAGTGGTCCATGTTCTATGTGGACATTTTTGTTCACATTTTAGAAGTTTTCCAGTAGAAATCATTAAGAAGTCAACCTTTTCCAACCAGGTCACAGATCCTTCCTGATATACTTTATGGTTGGGAGAAACTGTGTTAAGATTGTCTTCTATTTCCTTTGAAATTAAAGCTGAGGATGAGGTCCTTCTGACCTTATTAAAATGTTCTTATTCAAATGCATGCTTAAGCATAACAATCACAAATGGCTCCTAATCTACTACAACAGGATCAGCAAGAGTCTATAATGCAGAAACAAAAAAGTGCATTGCAAAGCTAGAAGGTCATGGAGGTGAAATTTCAAAGGTAAGTTGTTTATGGTTTGCACGTTTTCTTATTTGATTACATGTGACATCCAATCCACGAGTTACTCCGTAACACACGAACACTGTTAAAGAATGGGGTGGTAAAGATTGAGAGGTCTGGCTAAGAAGTTATCTTTACTAAAAGGACAAAGCTATCAGTCAATGATTGTTTCGAACTCCCCATTTCTGAGCTAAGACAATACTGGGTGTGCTACTCCTATAGGGTCCACCAAAAGCCATCTCTCCATATTGTCATGTTATTTACTGTTTGATTCCTTAGAATTGTGGCAGTTAGAAAGCTACTTAAGAAGTCCATCCCTCCCAGGGATGGATACTTGGCTTAGTTAACATTGAAATGATTGTTTTTCCTTACCTATTTCCCTTTTTCTGAAGCAGTATATAGGTTAGGTCTCCATAATCACTTGGCAGAGAACAGGGGGAGCAGAGTGAGACGCTGTCCAAATGTTCTCTCACTATGATCACAGTTAATAGAGCTTCTGTCTGACCTGTCCTAAATTGTACTTGTGTTATTACACCCTTGGAGTCCCCAGATTCTCTGACAAAATAAGCACTAGTTTTTTAGTCTTTTGATGACATCTTAAAGCTATTGCCTCTGAGGCTTCTACCATCACCCTTATTCCTTGCTTCTACTAGATCTGCTCCTCTTTACTCTTTTTCATTTCTCTGCACACCCAATTTGTGAAACGGAACAGAAAAAAATACTTTCTGTAACAAAATACATGGAGGGTCTTATTTTCAAAAGGGGACTTGGAAGTATAAAGTCCATTTCAAAAGTCACTTGTTCATGAGGAGTGTGATCATGTACTTTGCTGGAAGTCTTGTCTGGCTCAATTTTGAATGCCAAAGTTCAGTTCCAAATGCATTTAGTTGCTTCCAAAATAGTACATATTTTTCAAACTTTGTTATTTAGTGCTTGCAACTTTTCGTTATTCTTTCAAATGGATAGCTTTCACTAGCTTCCAGGCTAGTATGCTAAGTCTGTGCTGCTTTTGTTTGATTTATTTTGTAATTGAAATATTAATATTTTTAAATTAGGATGGTTCTTAGTGAACAAAACTCATGTGCTTTCCTTGTATTGATCTGGCTATTACAATCACTTTGCTGAGAGGATATTAGGTTCAAAAGGGCTAGTTCTTCCTCACTTAATATACTCAGTGCAGTATTTCACACTCAGTGTAGATGCGCTGAGGAACGCAGTCTGAATACATGCTGACATGTGGATGAGTTATGGATAGCTTCCATCCGGGTCCTTAATGCTGGCATGATTTCTTTACTGGAAGTGAGAATCTGCTCATCCCAGAGGATGTTGAAAAGTCAATCTATTTTTGCAGATGTTCTATGTAGCTGTGATCAATTGGGAAGGTTATTACTTGGAAATTGGATTTCTGGGGAACAGGCATTTTGCCCTCAGTAATTAAGCAATTTTTCAATGTATATTAAACCTGGTATTGTCTGGTTAGTGCTATAAAAATATATCTGATTATCTGGAAATGCATGTAATTTTGGCAATGAATGTTTAACAAATATGAAGACATGCTACAAAATTAGTTGCCTTCAGTGGAAGTCTTGATATTATGGAGACATAGGTTATTTAATGTAGAACTCTATAATAAATATGTATAAATTTTACATTGGAATAATGATAACAAAGTTGCTACAGTTGTAGAGCAATTGTGGTTTTGGGGGATAATATTCTGACGTCTTGATCCTATAGTAAGGTCATTGTATGTAGATCTTTGTACATACACAAAGTTTTCGGCCACAGAAGTTTTCCAGGGTCACTCTAATGGAATACTATCCTGAATTTTACCTGAAAAGCTGAATGCAAGAGTTGCTAGTTTCTGTTTTCACTTTTTAATCATTAGATATGCTTCTTTATCTAGGCATATTGGCTTGGTAAGTAATATAACTCTCTTCTATTTTTTTTTAAAGGTATGTTTTAACCCTAAAGGCAATCGTATACTAACAGCCAGCTCTGATAAAACAGCTCGACTCTGGGATGCTGCTACTGGACACTGCCTTCAGATATTAGAAGGTCACACCGATGAGATATTCTCCTGCGCTTTCAATTACAAAGGCAATATAATCATTACAGGTAACCAATATATTCAATTTTTTTTCTTTTTGAGAGAAATTTTACATCTTGTTATGGTAAAAACACATTAGAGTCTGAAAAGTGTCCTGGGGACACATCCCAAATGCAGGTACCAGCAGTGACTTAAAATATAGTCAAGAAAAGCTAGAAACTCACTTTAGAACTGAGACTTAAGTCAATATGGCCAGGAACAAATTTGTATAACGGCATGGGCATACGCTACCATCTGTCCTATGGGCATGTACTAGCCCCAGACCAGTGACTAAACCATTTTCTCACAATGCATTGCAGTGAGGGAGGTCTGGATGAGCAAAATGCAAAGCTTTTTAAATGGAAGCACACCTTTGGTGCATTTGGCACTACATTCTGTTCAGGTTTCATTCACTTCAGATGAAAAACTGTGGGAGTGGGCAATGTGAACAGAGTATTTGTGATAGCTTTGATCTTTTGACTGAACTACCACAATCTGGGGTACAGGATGATGTCAGCTAAAAATACTGCTGCAGGTCCTGCTGTCTCTGACTAGTCACGGACAGAAAATTTTCTCTGGCTTCTCGGCATTCTAGGTGGATTGTTGATGTTGATGTTAACAAAAATGGGTAAGTTGTGCACTACGGCTAAATGATTGCCTCACAATGTGTTTTTATTACTAGGGAGCAAGGATAACACCTGCAGAATATGGCACTGACTGAAGACAAGGAAAGATCCAGTTTGGTATATGCCTACTTCATGAGTTTCATAGTCAATAAACAGTCTTTCAGATGTTTTCTTTTACCTTCTTTGTTCAGCTTCAGCTTTGCTGAAGTAGAGAAGTTACCTAGATTTTGTGATGTTGGACTTTGCTGATGTCTGGTAGATAGGAATCATAGAATCACAGAATAGTAGAAGTTGGAAGGGACTTCTGGAGATTGTCTAGTACAACACCCCCACTCAAAGCAGTGTCAGCTAAGCAGGCTGCCCAGGACCATGACCAGCCGGTTTTGAATACCTCCAAGGATTGAGACTCAACAGTTTCTGTGGGCAACCTGCTCAGTGTTCGATTACTCTCACAGTATAAAATAAAAGGGTTTTTTTCTTATGTTTAAATAGAATATTTTCTTGCATTTCAATTTGTGCATGTTGACTTTTCACTGGATGGTGCTGAGAAGAGTCTGTCTCTGTTAGCTACCTGAAAGAAAGCATGATTAGTGTGAATGAATCCAGCAGGATGGCCCCATTTCTTTGTGTGTAATTTTTTCCTTGTAACTCTTTTAATAAAAAATAGCGTTATGATACTCTGAAGCATGAAAGAGGTGTTGTTTTGCACCGGCTTTCAGTACTTTTTTTTTTTTTGTGTGTGTAATACTGTATTGAGTTAAAAATGACAGTTTCACTACTTGTAATCCGATATCCCACTAGACATTTCTGGGGAAAACCAGCAACCATTTGTGAACTGCATTGCTATTACCTATTGCATGCATGCTGTAGCTAAACTCCCACTGACCCTCTTTCATACTTGCCCACATCTTTCAATTCATTCCATCCCTTTCTGTTCAGCCTTTGTTCTTCTGTTTTCACCTGAGGTAAAAAAAAAAAAATGGGGGTGGTGACTCCAACTCTGAATCCTGGCCCAAAGATTATAGCCTGCATGAAGAAACTCTACACACCAAAGATTTGGAGCCCAGGAGACATAAACTGAGGAGTAGACAAGAAAGTCCTGCAAATCATTTATCACCCTACAATAAACTCTTAACCCAGGTTTACATCTTGCCAGCAATCGCCAACAGGCTTCACCTGTGCAGAGCTCTCCCCACCTCCCAGCAGAACATCTGATACTGCAGCTGCTGTTTGCAGGGGAGCAGCAAAGGGGTAGAGCTGCCTGGTCTTCTCCATCAGTCTTGGAAGAAGGATGAAGAAACAGAGTATAGGATTGAACTGTGTGTGGTGACTGAGGGAAGAAAGGAAGTGTAGAGCCAGAGAATGACCTTGAAGGTATCTTGTTTGTATTGTATATCTCTGGGTGGTTATGGACTTGACTTCTAAGTGTTGTTAAATTTAACAGGCAGTTACTAGTGCTGGTGTGTTCTATCTCTGAGTGTTTGCCAGCATCCTTGTCTGTAAATGAAGAAACAAAAGTGCCTGTTGTCACTTGACAAAGATCCTGGTTGTTCCAAGTAGTGTCGTACTGTGGGAGAACTAAGCAGTGTGCTGCAGATCATTTAAAATTAAACTTTTACCAGTAGGCAAAGTGGCTGATATTAATATTACAGCAATGCTTGTGGTGTTTCCTGTTACCTTGTGTAAAGACTTATGATACCAAAAGGCTATCTCGGTAATCCAGAATTGAAAGGGGCAGGAAGGGCAGTGCAGTTCTGTGTTACTTTAGAATTGCCCAGTGTTCTTAGTTTGCACCTATACTTAGAGTGACATGGGTGATTTCTGCTTAACAAAAATGGAGGAAAATTAGTGTAATGAAATGTGCACAAATACTGATAAATAGTTAAAAACTGGAATTTGATTTGCTGTGAAACCATCACAAAGTGAAAAATTCTTTGGGCTGACATTAGGAAGTAGATTTTTTTTTTTTTTTTTTGCTTAATCTTTCAGAATGAGTTATGTTCTGTTGCCTTTTCCTTTATGATTCTTCCTCTTACGCTATGCTAGTGATTCCGTGAATCAAACATTTGTAATAGCTTTTGGCTTTGACCTCTTGTCCTATTTTTATGCAAAATTATAAGTTTGGGTTTCATAGACCTAAGCATTGGACTGGGAGGCCATCTGGGCTCCATTTCTCCCTTAATTCACTGGGTGAGTAGCATTGCTTTTCAGGCCAAGTTATCCAGGTTTCCTGCTCAAATATGAAATACTTTCACATCTGGTGTGAGTCACTGCACTGCTGAAAAGTGTGTTGACTTGGCGCCTCATAAGAACTCCTATAGTACTTGAGGTACCATCATATGAGTGCTTTGATGTTAGGCTCTCTGCACCTTGGTTTACCCATATGTAGATTTAATAAATTGAAGAGATCTGCATTAGAAGTGCATTGTATAGATGTATCATCCTGAAACCATTCTGTGATGGATCCCTTTCTCTAATTCCACTTCAGTCCCCACAACCAAAATAGCATATGAGTGTGCTCTAACTCTATTGTCTGGTGCCTTTCTAATCTTATCAAAGCATTTGGCTTCTACATACCTTGCACTCTCCATGTTGCCACTGTAATCACCGAGTGGTTGGAGCAGGATGTGGCTTTCAACATTCTCCTGAAATGCTGGCAAGCTTGTTTCACTGTGCCCCTATTGACAAGGACTACCTCAGGAGGCTCCTGAAGTGTGCTTTAGTAAGGACTGTCACAGTGGCAGTCAGATGTGCTGTATTGTTTCTGCCCTGTAGACCTCTGAATCCTTCCAGTATATACCTCCGTGAATATACAAGTTTCTTCTTCCAGGAAAGAAGCCTTTAGCTTGTCTCATGTAGCTTCCCCAGGACAGAACATTCATTTTGCAAGACAAGGACGAGGATTTCCATGTAAGCATATGATGTGTGCTTGGACTCTTGATATATGTTTTTCGCATCTTTTGCGATTCAAATTATTTTCTGAATGGGTGAGGATAATAAATGCCACTTTTAAAACATGAGTGGGTATGAGTATTGTGAGAATTTAGTTTTTGGCTCCTGTGTGGTCATTTGCATTTCCTGGGTAGTTAGTGAAAGGGTATGAAATATATCCTGCTTGGTTATATTTTCCAGTTTGCTGCACTTCACTGTCTAATTTTCAGCTGAAGCTGGGAGGAGGGCACAGTATCCATCAGCCAGACCTGTCTTCACTGCAAATTGTTTTAATTAGTTTCATAGTCCGGCTAATTTAACTGTCTGTCCTGCTAAACGCTGTACAGCTGCAAGTTGCTTTCTGAGGGACTGTTCCTCGCGATGACTGGCTTTAGAATGCGTTTGAAAAACTGAAGTAGTGGCATTATGGATTCGCTCATACTTAGCAAAGATTTCGGCATGGCTCTGGAATGAATTAAAATTCTTAAATTGGCTAGTATGGGTATGCTTTCCTTCTCAGCTGGAATTTATTTATTAAGTAGCTCATGTGGGCTCTTTGTTTCAGTGGAGTGGTGAGGTTTTTTCCCCCGACATTTTGAAAGTCTGAGTGCACGATTCATGGAGACATTCCTGTGCTTGTTTGTAATGCGGCTCTGTGTGAAACTAGACAACAGTAAAGTCAGCCTCTCCAGAAGAGTCATCTGCTGAATTTAATAGTAATAACTGTAAACAGGTGACCATTTTTATCATAGACCACAATAAAATGTTTAATTTACTGAGGACACTAGGAAAATCTTCAGTGTTATGACAAAATGGAGGAAGACTATAGTTTTTCAGCTTCTAATGATCCTGACATTAAAAGCACCTTCAACAAACCAAGCTAAAAATTAAAGTTTTAAGTAATTATTTGTCAACAGGTAATTCTCCTGTGTTTGAATTAATGTACCTACAGGCCAAATTCTGCTCTTCATTAGGTGGGCAGTAGAGCCAACACCAGGGTGGAAGGCACCTTTCCCTGAGCCCTTCTTGCAGAGTAAGAAAGTGAGGGTGGCAGCCCCGGCTGGGACCAGCACTGCAGCAGGTGCTGAGGCAAATGTCTGCCTCTCCCATGGGTGGCCTCTGGTGGCCAGGGCACCTCCTGAGGTATATGTATATGGGGAAAAAACCTCATAAAGGATGTCAAATTACTGCCCCGTCAGAGCTGCGCTGTGCTTCACCTCCTTGGTCTGCTTCTGAGAAGGTGCACTTAAATGGGTTGTACTGTATTTGGATCCAAACCAGTATTTTTGCATGGAACTGCACTCATAGTGTTTGTCTTATTTAGTAAATTGTGCTCCATCTCTTTCAAGTACTTATCCAGCTCCCACTTGAACCTACAAGTTTTGCATCCTCTCATTTGATGAAGTGTCACCTCTTTTTGTCCACTTTGAATCTGGCTCGTACGAGTTCCATTTGTTGGGTCCAAGCTTTTTTGTTGTATTTTTTTTTTACATTTGTTGTATTGAGAAAGATAGTGAACAGTGACCCTCTCATATTCACAACCTGCATCATGGTCATGTACAGAGAGGCTGAACTGCACATAATTTACTGCGAGATTTTTAGCTAAAATTGTACATTGTATGAAGTTCTCATTTACATGTATTTAAAGTTCACTTCAATTTTTTTTTGAGCCTACATTTAATAGTGGACAAGTCCTGTTCCGATTTACTCATCTGTGTTGGTTTCCTCTTCCTTTTAGCAGCAGAAATACCTTTACACCTAGGCAGTAGGGCAGGAAGTGTCTGTGCAAACTTAAACAAGCAGAAGAAACTCCTGAACTACTGTCTCCCCTTATATTGCACTTTCTACAATATAAATGTTACTGTTGGTCTATAACGGGGCCTCATTTTTTTTCGAGTTCATTAAAGTATAAGAAAATCCTCCTATCATTTTGTAAAGCCCTGAGCAGCCTTCTCTCGGTGGGGAGCCATTCCGCCCAGCCACGGTGATCGCCGCCTTTCATACCTGTTCAGTCCCGCCTTTTTACTCCGGTTGCCCGGGGAAACGGCACGTCCCACACGTTCCTCGGTGCCCATGCGACGATCGCAAGGTGTCCTGGGTAGCACGCGGCTCTGTCCCCTCCCTCCACGTGCGGTTGGCGGCGGGAAGCGAGCTCTGGAA